GAAAAATTCTAACCAATCACAGTTAGTGTTGTTTATCAAAATAGTGGCCAATCATAAAGAAATTCAGTCATGCTATTCAGGCTCATTTGCATTTTTTTCTAAAATTTTAATAAGTCCGCGCGACAAAAAAAAAAAAATAAATAAACACCTCTTGAAGAGAACTGCCGTCTCAACACATAAACTAGCTAATTAATATTACAAACATAAGTTTACTGATCACAATAATATGCTATTAACCATACAAGATTTGGGCGTGTTCGAAGTTGGTCCTCCACTATATCGTCAAAGTAAATAGCGTTGAGAAATTTTAAGGCATTATGATGATTGTTTAACTAATGAAATAATTTTTTTTTCACAAATAATAATTATAGTAGCTGACCTGAAGTCTATGATTGATGAATATACGGTTACCAACCATACAGAAATTGGGAGTCAAAGTAAATAACGTTGAGAAACTTTAGAAATTATGATAGTTTAATAAATTTATTAATTTTCTTCACATTTAATAATTATAGTGTTTGATTTGATGCCTATGAACATTAGGAAAATCTATTTTCGGATAATCATTTCCGGCGAAGGATGGATTTGGTGTTAGTATTAATGTGGGCTAGTGGTGAGAAAAATCAATTTGACGAAGAGGAAGCTTTAGCTCCTCTTCAAATGTTATTCATCTCGCATTTAGCGAAACTCAGTTTCGCGTGGTGACATTAGGAGGGAATCGATTGAAAAATCTGGCGCGATGAGTGACGGTGGGCATAGAGTGTTTAAAAGGGTCTATGAACTCGAGATTTACTTCTTAAGTAACATCCGAGACGATAGCGAAAGTTCATTTTGAATTATCATGACACATTGGTGGTGTTAAAGAAAATTGTAGCTCATTAAACAACAAAAACCAATTCTGATATATACAGTCTATTAATTATAAAAAATAAATTAGCTTTTATTAATTTAATAACAGATTTTACTTATACTATTATAATATATATCTATTACTTTAATTTCAGAAAAAAATTTTTTAATCGAAGAACGCGAGTTTATTAACAATTGCGAGTCATCTAACGATTGTTCTTAATGAGACTTAATACATGAGGACGACTTCCACTATTGTTTTTGAAAAGTTTGGTAAAATATTTGGTTTACAAGGTTGATAGCAAGCTTGCTTCAATCCAACGAAAATGATGACACCCGAGACCATTCAAATGGTTCATTTAACCATTTGAATTGGTTAACCTGTTCTATTAACTTTAATTAACCAGTTATTAACCTTTTTCAACAAAAAGTAAATCAAGTTCTTTAAAGAGCATATGGTGATGCATACATCATACATGATGTGTGTGATTTTTATAATCTAAGTGCATACATATACATTTTGTTGGATGCTAAATTAGTAAATACTACATCACTGAAAGGTGAATTTTAATAGACGCAATACGCAGTAGTAAAATTTTGAATCTCAATTTAGTTATCATAAATCTTTAATTTGTCCTTATACCATGTTTCAATGTTTTTGTCCTTCGCTTCGCTCAGGACAATAAAGTGAAGGATTTTCATTGTTCTTTGAAAATAAACTAAGTATGGCAAATTTTTCGATATTGTGTTTGTATATATGTTTTAAATGACAAAAAAATTAAAACAATCATTTAAATCCAAATAATAAAAATAAAACGTCCTAATGAATCCACATATAATTAAACCTCTAAAATCTAATATTTTAACAAAAATTATTTTAAAAGAAAATGTATAAACATTTTTAATCTTTATAAAACAAAAAAGAATGTAATCCATACATAATGTGTGGATTCAATTTCAAAGGATTTGGATTTGAAATTATTACTGAATCTAATGATGTATGGATTTAAATTCAAAGTATTTTTTTTTTTTTAAAGCTTCACAATTCCAAGAAAGTGAAAAGCTATAAATTTATTACATAAATATTAAAACTGATTATTCTTTAGTATATTTCAATTGAAATTTAAAAATTTTTATTTAACCAAAAGTATTTAGTATTTTAGCATATACTGTATATAACTGTTAATATATCTTATTTAATTCATTTAAATGTAAAATTTTTTTAGATTTAATTTAACCTAATAAAAACCTTTTTACATATTTAAGTGTAAATTTATTAAAAAAGACTTAATTAATATTAAAACCTTGATTTTTAAGATTTTTTTTTACTTACAAATTTTCATTAATATGATCAGTGAATTAAAGACTCAAAATTTACTTGATATTATAATAATTTAGACATGATAATGATAGATAAGATTTTTAGGTTTTTAATTGTGAATAAATATGTACAATTTTGTTTAATATTTAATAGAGAATAAGAAGTATATATGTAGAGAAATAATAAAGTTTGAAAGAAAATTTTCTAAAATACAGATTGTAACTACTTATATTATATAGTCTAAGATTAAGCATATCATTCTAGTTAATTATTTATTTAAAAGAAATTTTTTGTGATAAGTTCTATTTATTTAGTAATCAGTTTCATTTTTAATGAAATTAATAATTATTATGTGTTTGAAATCTATTTTACTACTTTCAACTTTGAAAAATAAGATCTAATAATAATTGATACCTTTTAAAAAAAAAGCTATAATAAATCATAATAATAAGATTAAATATCTATTAAAGAAAAAGTTGTATATGCATATAAAAATAGCAAAAACTTACATATTAAAAAAACATTCAGAAAAAATTATTTAAATATATGCTAGTTAAAAGGAATTTTTTACAATAAACTCTATTTAATCCAATTTATAATTAGTTTTATTTCTTGATACAGATAATTAACAAATATTATTAACTCCTATATTTTTAACTTTAAAAAAATAATATCTGATGATAACAAAATAATTAAAAAAAAAGTTTTAATAAATCATAATAGAGAGATTAAGTAGGAAAGATTATCAAATCAGTAAATAAGATCAGAGTAAACTATATATCTGTGATTATATGAATTTAGATCTTAGGTCTGATGCCAAAGTTTCCGCTCAAGTCTAGGCAAAAATACCTAAGGTGGTCAATACTTTTTATATCTCCTGTATATGATGATAATGGATCTTTAACGATTTTCTTCATCCGTTTTGCTGATTTCTGATAAATAATATAGTATATAAATTCTATTATAAATATTAAATATATATAATAATTTTTTTAGTAATATATTTTGATATTAAATAAAACTTTTGTTAACATTTTAGTGTGATAAGATTTATGAATGATATAAGACATTCTAAGAATTTTAAACATTACAGCATCTATAAATAGATATAATAATAACATCTAACTTTATAATAAATCATTTTTTTTAAAAGACTAGAATATACTTTTTGGATAAATTAGTATAGTTCTTTGATATTTTGAATTACAAGTATGTATCTTATTAACTACAATAGTAATGCAAAATTTTATTTTAAATAAAAGATTAAAATTATAAAAATTATTTTTTCACTTAATTTAAAAATCTGATATAGTGATAGAAATTTATACTCAAAAATAAAATTGTAATACTAAAAATTTTAAAAAATAAAGATTTTAAAAAATAAACTGATAATTTTATTTTTCAAAATGAATACTATTAAATTATTAGTTAAATTTTCAAAATAATAATTATATAAAAAATTATAAGCATTTAAAGTCAGATGATTTTCATATAATTAATAAAATTTGAAACAAAATTAAATCATATGTAAGAAATTCTATTGGTCAAGAATGCTTATAATTTATTGTCAATATTATTATAATTTAATGTTAGCTTAAATTATCATAATTAATTAGATTCAAGTATTATTTTGATTTAATTTTTTTTTGATTTATTAAACTAATTTATTTATTTATTTTTTTGATCTTCTTTTTAAAATTTGATTACACTTTTGAAATGTTACGTAAAGTAAAAAAGCAACAGCAAATTAATCAAATACCAAAAAAAACACTATATATCTTAAAATTAACTTACTATTAAAGAAGATACTTCAGAAAGTAAAATTATTGAATTTATTGATGATTTTGTTAAAGATTAGACAGAAGAAAATTTAAAGAGTTTAAAGATGTAGAAAAAAACTTATCATTGAAATTTTTTATTAACATAAAAATGCTAATTATAACATTAGAGTAATATATACTGAAAATTTAAGAATTACAATCTAGAAAAAAAAAAGTAAAAGAAAATATAAAGAAAAGAGAATAATTAATACCTTTTTTTAAAAATTCTAAACAATCATCTTTATCTCTATCTAATAATTTACATATTTACTTAAAAGAAATAAATCAACAATATTTATTATTAAAATTTATAAAAGAAAATGAGAAACTTTATATCTATAACTATTTATGTTACTTAAACATATGTAGATTCATTCAGATATTATTAGATGAATAAGAAAAGTTAGAAGTCAGTAATAATATTACATAAACTATATGAAATAAAGATGATTATATGGTATATTATATTCAAAAATAAAAAACTCATTTTATAAAAAATAGAAGAACTTCTTGTTTATCATTAAGAGAAACATTCAAAATTGGAAAGCTTATTAAAAAATAAGAATTTTAAAGAAGAATGACAAATGTGATTATAGAAAAAAGTATCAAAATCATGTACTTCTAGAATCTTAAAACATATATTGAAGAAACAGTTTTTCTAAATATACAGATTATATTAAAAAAGACATAATTTCTGAAGGAATCTGTCAGACTTATATATATTTATAAAGATACAAGTATAATAAAAAAAAAAAAGGAATTTATTATGATAAGTATAAATGGTCAGACATGATAATATATAGAAAGGATTAGTTAAAAAAAATGTTTAAATATAAGAAATCTATGAAATAGTTTAATAGTAATATATTAGACATTGTTTTAGAACTTCAACTTAAAGTAAAAAGAAAAATAATATATGATAAATGCTATTTTTACGTAAATGATAGGTAATAAAAGATTTAGATAAACAAAGATAAAGATATTTGCATTTAAAATACATTAAATGCTCTATCACAGTTTCAGCCTTTCTTTGTCAATATCATAGATTATTATAAACAATTACAAGAAAATTCACTTATTAAAAATAAAGAACCTTTTATTTTTTATTTTATACAAATAAATAAATATTAAAAATCAAAAGTAAACTATTAAAATATATTACAGATCATATAATTTACTATATTTATAATTCAATTTTAATAGTAAATCTCCTATATGTTAGATCAGATTTAAACTTTTCTTATTATTTATTATTGTTTAAAGAAAAAAGTTTACTAATTTTTCTTTCTACTTATAAATAAAGTTTGTTTATTGGGCAATTCCAATATTTAAGATATTACATTCTAAATGTATTAGAGTTTTTTGCTTTGATCAATTAACAAACTATAATATTATTACAAATGATATTTTTATTGCAATAAGAATAAATCTAAATTCTAGAGAAACATAGTTTAAAATGTATAATAATTAGTACATTAATAAATATAGTGAAAAATGTATTTAATCAATAGTATTTCTAAATAATCATAAATTGAAAAAACAATCAAAGAGTATTAAATAAATACTTAAAGAATATAATTTTTGACCAACAAAAGCAATCTGTTTAATATATAAATAGTACTCTAAGAAATAAGATAATATTGAATTAGACTTGAATCTTATTTATTATTAGCAAGGTATTCAAGAGTTATATTTAAAACTAATCTATAAACTGAAGTAAGTTTGATTAATAGCTTAGTTGATATAATTTAAGAAATAGTTTTTAAAGAGAATAAAGACTTACAATTGCAATTATAATTAAATTTAATAATTATTTAGGTTTTATTATATTGATTAAAAATAATA